TAGTATTTAACTATTGAAATCAATCCAGTCGAGTTTGAACTGATCTCAGTCGAGATCAGCTCAAGATCGATAGGACCAATCTTAACCATTAATTACTATAAAGCTCATCGATTAGATCAATCTGGACTGTTGGATGCTATAAAAGTTGTCTGCCGTTGCAACTGCAGACAATCTAGATCCTGCATTTTCTTCCATGCCATATTTTCATCCCTTGTCTCATCTGTGGGTGTTTACTTGGTGAGACGAACACCTAGATGATTGGGTTTCAGTCATGGCTCCCACTCTTCTGCACAATAGAAGTGGGGCTATTTAATTCGTCCTTAGCCATTTTCCTTGGTCAGTGGATCCATCTATTAACTATTCACAACGGTGACTTTAATTTCCATACTTGGCCTATCTACTTCTTTGCGAGAAATAAACACGGCAGATTAGTATTACCGATTACCAATTATGGGCCTGTGTATCGTGCTGGAAGGTCAACCGTGGAATATTTCAGCACATGTATTTTTCGAGCATGCATGATGCAACTCTTATGCCCCTTAAATGCTTTTCTTTAGTGGGCGCATACCCTACACATATTTAACATTATTTACACATACTAAAATTATGTAAAAGACTTAGTTTTTAAACTCAGATCAGACTGAATGGTCCGATTGAATCGAAAATCGATTGAGCATTCGATTCGAGTTTGTTTAAAAGACGGCTTGTGAAAAATTTGATCAAACCCAATCAAAAAAGGGGTTGGACCGGAATGATATACCCACTGAAAATCCGTTTTTCCCACTTTTCTTTTTTGGCTGATTTTTGTTTTTTTTTTGGCTTTTTATATTCCTTAATGCTCTTGAAGCAAAATAATAATAATAATAAAATGCTTAATCATTTCTCAAGCAAAGATTGCTACGCATCGAACATGAGAATGTGAAAATGAAAAGGAATAGAAAGGAAAAGAAAAACTGATTTAGTTTTGAAATTAAAAAAGAATGTAAATAATGGATGATATGATGTTATTTTTGGCAAAGGATGTAGACAAGGCAAAGGTTTAAAAGTTTAGAAAAAAAAATGGAAGACGAAGGGCGGAGAAGACGAAGAAAGACGAAGACGGAAAGGGAAATGAGCTGTGCAGCAAGTCAGGAACTTCTTAAAACAAGTAAATAAATTTAGTATTAATAATATCTACACTGACAGTGTATATTTTGTCAGCGTTGGATGAATGACAATTATGCAAAATTTAAATTTGATATTCAATTTTTGCACATGTGTCATGAATCCAATAATAATAATGTATGTACTATTAGTGTATGTACTATTAGTGTATATAAGATTTACTCATAAATTTAATAATTCAACATCCATCTATAGCTTTTTCATTATTCAAGCTGTCCCCTAAATATTTTAGATAACTATAAGAGTAAATCTTATATACACTGATATAGGGGTGTGCAAAATCAAAAAATTCCGATTTACCGACTAAATTCGAATTGAATTCAGAATTTTCAAAATCGGTAATTTGGAATTCTGCAGTGAAATCGAAATTTTCGATTTCGAATTATGCGAATTTGGTTCGAATTTGATAATGGAGTTTTTCAAATCAGAATTTTCGATTTCAATTTCGTTTTATAATATATATATTAATATTTATTTATTTATATATAATAATATTTTTTATTTCAATTTCATTTTATAATATGTATATTAATATATATTAATGTATATAATAATATTTTAATAATATATTTATATATAACAATATTTTTTATAATATATGTAATATAAAATTTATAATATATAACAATACACTAACAAAAAAGAAAAAAAAAGGAACAAAGCTTTCTGAATTCGGTGAATTCGAAATTTACCGAATTTCGAATTGAAATCGAAATCTGAACTGGTGAATTCGAAATCGAAATTGGTCGGTAATTCCTATAACAAAATTTCGAATTCAAACTTCTAAATTACCGAATTCGAATTTGATGCACACCCCTACATTGATAGTGTATACATTATTATCGTTGGATTCATGACATGTGTGTAAAAGTTGAATTTCAAATTGATGACATGTGTGCAAAAGTTGAATTTCAAATTGATGACATGTGTGTAAAAGTTGAATAATTCATCATCCAATGCTGACAGTGTATATACTGTCAATGTAGAAAAGATTAATTCTAATTATAATTATTCCTATAAGCTTTCTAAATTTTCATTTGTAGGTTTAATTTCTTTACATTTTCAAATAGGTCATAGAAATTTAGTGCTAAGCTGATTAATTCATATTTAAAGCTTCCAAACATCATATTTGAGTTAGGTTTAAAGGATATTGAATTATAAAATATTTGGAAATTAAACTTAAGAAATTAAATTAATATTTTTATTCATGTTAACAATATATTTTTATGTATTCCAGCATATAATATAATAAAATTTTAATTAACATATTTATGACATCATATTGATGGCATTTGGTTCTTAATACTAATCCGATCTAGTAGAACCCATTGACCCCTGACTTTAGTCAAGTCAAAGCCCACTTCGAGTTTCAAAACACTAGTAAAAGGGTACATATTGTACAACTATGCCAAATCAACAAAAAATGAGATATTATATAAAGTTCGTAAATCACAATGAAATGCAGTTTAATTGGTAAGACGCTTTACCTGTAATTGATACATTAGTGGTTTGAGTTATCAAGGGCTAATTAAGGAACCATCATTGATCCTCTTTAGGAAAAAAATATAAAATTTGGAAATCCTCTATAATCTTGTCCAATACTATCACCATGAATAAATTATGGGAGTAAGTTAATAATATGAAATTTATGCCTAAGTGAATTCGACAATATTTTCTCTTAACAAAAATACAAATATACATATACACACACACACACATTTATATGTGTGTGTGTGCAAAATGAATCACAAAAATCTGGGTACCTTTTAATTTTTATGATTTTCAGATATTATGCTACACCAACATCAATTTTAACTTTTTTGTTTCCTTGTTCATTATTTATTAAATCTGCAAGCTTTGAACACATTATCGGACTTATATAAATAAATATTGAGAAAGTGCAATGCAGTTTGTTGTTATATTTTACACACCTCCTGGACTACACCCATGAACCTCTCTCTATCCCGGTCTCCTCATGACTCTAAGTTAGAATATTTTCGGGCATCTAATGTAAGTATTTGTGCGTTAGTATTTCCAAACACCGGTCGTATGTCGGAAAACAAATACTAGTGAGTTACATAACGGTGTAATTTGTTTGTTGCGTTAGCGTAGGATAGAAAGGAAGTGTTGGTACTTAGGAATTTATGCGGTTACATCACCAAGCTTTTAAGGTTTAAATTGGATCACATCAGTTTAATTTGACCTAAATTATTCATTTTCAAATCGCAGAAAAATCAAAGAATTTTAAAGTGAATGATCACATGGAACGAGTTGATGTGGTCCGATCTAGATCGGGAGAGGCACTAAATCCCCATCCATGTGTCAAGTTTCCACTTTTTACTCTATTTTCTCCAGCAATATGATATTAAATATACTAAAATCCATTTTCACCTGAAAATTGATGAAACGAAAATTGTAACACTATTGAAAAAAAAAAGGAAAACCAACGATGGGCTGATTACTGCTCGTACTATCCATGTGAAAATATAATAAGAAAAATATCACCTTTTTTTCTTTGTAAAATCACCAGATAATATCTGTTTACAAGTACTTGGGTCAGCCCAACAATTGAAATGCTTGGTTTAAAGGATGGCGAAAGCTGTCTTGGGAAACTTGTCCAACAAAATAGGTCTGGGTGGGTGGCTGGAGTTTGGGCTCCAACTTTTTGTTAACTTTTTGTGGTATGAATGCAATATGCAATTTACATAGAGATGATTGTGAACACTGTTGAATGCAACAACCCTTTTTGCTTTGTTTAGATTCTGCTCATCCGATACAGGATTTTCAACCACAATTGCTATATCCCTAGGATGTTATAAATCCAAGTTCAATATAGTTGACCAAGTGGTGATTAATTATCAAGAAAGCTCATATCAATTAATTTCAGGAACCCATTCACTCTAGTTCATTAAATTTATTTCTTTACTTACATGCTGCTAATTAGGATAGTAAATGAGCCGAGTTCAATTGAACTATTCACAAGCTTATTCAGATAAATTTCGAGCATGAACTCGCCTTCACTGAGTTTGAGCAACTTGAGCAGCTAGACGAGCTTGAACTCCAGCATATATACGCGAGGCATGAAAGACCTCCGAGCTTAATTAAGCCTCAGATACATGATTTTTTTTTTTTAAATTTATTAATGTAAAATGCTGTTTTATCCCTTAAGTGCAAGTTATAAAATAAAATTAGATATTGCTTAACTTCGATTGAGTTCGATTAAACTTGATTAAACTAAGATCATCTAAGATCAATCGAGCTTAGAATCAAGCACGTGTAAGTTAATATAATAAGCGCGTCTAACTCGAATTCAAGTTTAAAAGCTTGATAAGGATGAATAGTATATCACTCGAGATTGATTCGGTTCCTTTTTTTTTTTTTTTTTTGTGTTCAAACTGACATCTTTCATTGATTTGTAAATATTGTTACAAAATGTATCACAATATATTAGGCAAAGGCCTGAGTAATTCCTATACGAGAAAATTTGTGCACAGATGCGTATAGATAGCCATTCCCCCTCCCCCTTCTCTCCATAACATGTTTTTTCCTCTATTGGTTTGCTTCAAAGATGGCAAACGAGTAGAGATACAAAAAAGACCATTGAAACTTTGAAGCACTTGATTGAAGAAATTTAGATTTTTCTTTTTTGGAACTTATAACAGCGTATGCACCAGATTCATTTTCTAATGTCTAGACAAGACTGGGTAATCTTGTTAACAATGCTGTGTTTCAATATGATGGGATGTGAATTTTGCCTCCCTGGAACCATATGTTTCTCGTTGGTCTTGATTATGCAAGTGCAGAATATAAATTATACCAATTGTTACCATTTTCAGGTGGATGACAAGGAGGAAAATCTGTCTTGGAAAGCAATTGGATATTGTGGACCTGATCCAGACTTCAAAAGACAAACTCAACGTATTAAAACATTAAAACAAATGTTTGAGTCAGCAGAAGACCAAAAACAAGACGAAGCAAGTGCAGAAGAGTTGTTTGGACCTCTATACAAAGGGATTGTTAATCTTGACAGACCTAAACAATTTGTCTTTGAGAAATTGCAAAATGCAGGGTTTTCTGTTTCCGCATCATCTCATTTGAAGAATGCAAAGTCAAAGTACAATAGGCCATCTTTCAGGATCAAATGTGATGCTGTTGTAGTTGGTTCTGGCTCTGGTGGAGGAGTTGTGGCTGGTATACTTGCAAAAGCAGGCTACAAGACTCTTGTCTTAGAAAAAGGTAATTATTTTGCAAGAACCAATCTTTCGCTTCTTGAAGGATCTACAATGGATCAAATGTACCTTGGGAGTGGTTTCATGGCAACCGAAAAAATGGATGTTATATTTCTTGCTGGATCAACAGTAGGTGGAGGATCTGCTGTGAATTGGTCATCGTCAATTCGAACGCCTCCCCATGTAATCAAAGAATGGAGTGAAAGCTATGAACTGGAATTATTTGATAGTAAATTATATGAGGAGGCTTTGGATGCTGTCTGTCAAAAAATGGGAGTTCAATCTGAAATTGAAAATGAAGGGTTCAACAACATGGTTTTGAGGAAAGGGTGTGAGGAATTAGGCTATCCTGTGAATACTATACCAAGAAATGCAACAGCTGATCATTATTGTGGCTGGTGCTGCTTTGGTTGTAAAGATGGAAGAAAGAAAGGTACTTTAGAGACATGGCTGGTGGACCTACTCAATTCAGGCAATGGGCTGATTCTTCCAGAGTGCAAAGCCATAAGAGTCCTTCATAAAAGGAAAAACAAGAAAAAAGGAAGACATGCTGTTGGGGTTGCCTTCAAATTTCAGAATCAAGGAGTGGAAGAAATCGGCATTGTGGAGTCAAAAGTTACCATTGTTGCCTGTGGTGCTCTTTCTACTCCTGAATTACTGATAAAAAGTGGCTTAAAAAATCCTAACATTGGCAAGCACTTGCACATTCACCCAGTAGCTATGGCATGGGGCTATTTTCCTGATACAACGCCTGATCCATGGCCTGAAGCAGAGAAGAAAAGCTATGAAGGGGGCATAATGACTGCAATGTCAACAGTTGTGGCCAATTTCGAAGGATCAGGCTATGGTGCTGTGATTCAAACACCAGCGCTTCACCCTGGAATGTTTTCAGCCCTAATGCCCTGGACTTCAGGCCGAGATTTCAAAGACCGAATGTGCAAGTTTTCCAGGACTGCACATGTCTTTGCATTGGCAAGAGATAAAGGATCAGGGAAACTACTCTATCCAAATTCCATAACTTACAATATGGACAAGATTGATGAAGAGAATATCAAAAGAGGACTAGAGAAAGTCCTGAGGATACTTGCATCTGCTGGAGCTGAAGAAATCGGAACTCATCATGTCAAAGGAAGGAGCATTAATGTGAAGAAAGTAAGTTACACAGAGTTTGACAAGTTTGTGAAGGAAGAAAGCTCCAGATCACTGAAGGACCTTGCAACACCAATATGTTCAGCTCATCAGATGGGCAGTTGTCGAATGGGGGTGGATCCAAAGATATCGGTGGCAAATCCCATTGGTGAAACATGGGAGATTGAAGGACTATACCTTGCTGATTCAAGTGTTTTTCCAACTGCATTAGGTGTGAATCCAATGGTCACGGTACAAGCCATTGCTTACTGCACTGCTCAGTCTGTTCTTGAATCTTTAAGGAGGAAAAGAGGTAAATAGCAAGAAAAATATTCTGTTTTCGGATTGAGGTTTCTTTTCAAACTCTGTCATCTCTGGATTAAAGGCAAGAAAAGTGAATGGTCTGTGCCAGTTGAATTCTCAAAGCAGGGGAACGGGTGGAACTGGCGAACTTCTGATGAAAAGGAAATAGCAATCTTAAAAAAGAAGTAAAAATGTAAAACCCCATTATTAGGTCTTGCGTACACTTTTTTTCTTGTGGGAGTTGTTTGGGGGGGGGGGGGGGGGGGGCGGGGGCTGTGTTCATTGTACCTATAAACTATACCAATTTGCGCTTTGCACCCAATACTGTCAATTGGCGGCATATTGTCTAAACAAGATGCAATCGACGAATACTTTGAACCAATTTTCAAATAAGAAGACTTTAACACCAATACACTAAACTTGTTTTTAAAATACCCTTACCCATCCATAGGAAGTAGGAGCTATAGCTTTTTCATTCAAAAATAGCTATTAAAGTTTCATTGAAGTTTTGCCAAAAAAAAAAAGCTTCATTGAAGTTAATTGATTTTCAAAAAAGATTAGCAGCTCATTTCTTTTCTAAATAATTTGCTTCAATACAAAAAGCTTGCAGACAAACGGGCGAGAAAATACGAGTAAAGAAGTTCTTTTGAGTTTTGACCAAACTTGAAATTAAGTACAACATATTCTCCCTTTTTTTTCTTGAGTTCATTTCGATATCAATGCGCACTTCTTTTATATAAGAAGTCGATTCAATTTTTGGGTAAGTGAAACGTGATTCATTTCTCAAAGTGTAAAAACAAAACTTAAAAAAAAATTACGTAACCAAATCGTAAAGAAAAATCAGCAATCCACAAAGTTTCAAATGTATTAACCATAACGTGTTATTAAGCCTATTTAAGGGCATATAATCAATTGTATCATTTTTTAAAGGGATAAACTGATCACTTTTTTGGCCCTTACCAATAACCAGAGGGAAAAAACTGCTCATAAAAAGAGTTGGAAGGGTACATATAAGTTACCCATTTTTGATTCATTGTAATTAAGCCAAATGTAAAATAAAGCGAAAATTGTTCAAACTGTCTTGATAAGAATATTTTATGCACTATATTTTGTGGCCATTACAAGTGACTTTGAATCATGTTTGGATCCAAACAAGGCATAGAAGATGAAATTCTTCCATAAATTAAAGTTGAAATTTTGTAATTAGATATTAGAAGTTTTGGTTTCTTTTCACTTGTTTGGATGGTCATTTTTGTAGGAAAATAGTGGAAGCTTCATAGGACAATTAATCACCAAAACAAAGCAAGTGAAACATCAAGTTTGCAAAAACCTAGTTGAAAAATAGGGAAAGAGAAGCGTTTCTTGTCCAAAAAACGGTTGGAAGAAACAGATTCTAGACAAATCGAGTTGAAGAGTTGTTTGAAAAATTTTGTCGAACGAGAAACTAGACCCAACAATCGATTCATGTCCAAGGTACCGTTTTTCACTCCCGATTTCTTAGCCACAGCAAACTTATGCAAGTTGCATCAAGTTATGCAAGCTGTGCAACTTGACTTCTTTTGATGAACATTTTCTAGCTAGACAAAAAATGATTGATGTGACTTAATGGTGTGAGGACCCGAAAATTTTCTTATTTATCGAATATTATAAGTTTACTTAAATATTTATTTACTCATTTTCTCCGAATTATTTATTTCGACCCTTTAAAAAAAAAAACTCCAGTTATATGGAACAACGCCTCTTTTATATTTTAAAACGTTTTGTTGGAAAATTCACTTTTCAAAAATTCGTTTAGTTCGAAATAACGAGTATACGTTTTTCGAGGCTATACTTGAATTGGGAGTGTATTAATATTAGAGAATTAAGAATGATCAATAGTAGATTAAAAAAGGTTAATCGAGGAATTAATACTAGACTCCTATGAGGACTCGCAATATTTATTATTTTAAATTCCTATTTCGAGCTTATTTGAATATTTAATTGCTCATTTATTCTGAATATTATTTTCTAACCTCTTTAGACCTAATTACATGTATCCATAGCTTAGTTATATTTTTAAAGTGACTCGCGTCAAAATTTAATTTCTGAACGCTCGTTAAGTAAAAATAGTGAATACGCGTTTTTACGTGCGCGAGTAATTGAGGAGCCTTAGACCATTATTTTGGGACAATTAAGAGTGAATAATAATAATATGAATGTAAGTGCATTAGAGATTTAGTGCACTAGTGCAATAAACTCGCGAGGAATCGAGCACGAAACGCACGCGCACGTGCATTATTTTAGTGGACAGCTTTGAGTACAATTGAACCGCACGTTTTAAGCTTACCTTGGAAGCTCATACCATCAGAATTTCCTTCCTCTCATACTCTCAAACAGCCGAGCAACAAAGGAAGAACAAGACCAGAAAATTCCTCCACTCTCTCTCCTCAATTCCTTACTCAAATTACCTCCAAATTTTACACACAAACCTCAAATCACTTGGTGATCAAGATAAGCTAGGAAAGGAGCTGACTCTCATGGTTTTTCTTCAGTTCAAAGTGACTGAAAATTTCTATCTTGGCTCTCTAAGAAAGTAAGTAATGATCAACCACTTAATTCTTGATTTATGGAAGATAGATTACACTCATGAGCTCTTGGATTCTCATGGGCAGCTTTAAATTGTTGGAAAATTGGTGAGTGGGCTCTATGAAATCCCACAATGACTTGGATGATCTGATTTGATAGGATTGGATGCTAATTGTGTTGATTAAGTGCTAATTTAGTAGAGTTAAGTGACAAAAATGAAAAGGAAGTCAAATGAGGGGTTGCATGTGAAGGTGCCGATTCTGCCCTGCCATTTTCGTGCATTTTAGTGTACTTTCTTGAAGTCCAATTGACTTGTTTCTGATGCAAATGTGAAATATAGGTTGTGTTTAAAGTTTCCTCAAAATTTTACGTAATTTGGGTGAGTGCATGTTGAGATTTAGAAAATCTGCCAAAACTAGAAAATGATTCCCGTCACTACCAGACAGCCATCTTGTTTCAGCTATAATTCATCACTCCGATGTCGGAATCGAGTACTGTTTGCGGCACTGGAAACTAGACATTCCCAGCTTTCATTTGGTATACAATTCAATCCCTAATTCTATCCGAGTGCCCCGTACCAACCGTTTAAAGATGACTGTCCTGTTTCTTTGTTTTCCTGGAACGAAGTTCAGAAGCTACAACTTGAGGCTCAAATTTGAGCTAGTTGTGTGCTGAATTTCAAAATAATTTCTTCTGTAAAATTATAGTTTTATGAATTTATTTTCCAACGCCACCAACTATGCTCAATTCCGAGTTGAATTGAGTGATTTGTGATCAAAATACGAAACCTGCCCTGTTCTTGAAAACCCTAAATTTTGGACAGAATTGATGCTAGACTTGGTGTGGACTTGCCAATTGAGTTTCTCGGAGTTAAAACACTTACCAAATGTACCATGAATGTTCCTTAGGCTTTTCCTACACAAATGAACCATGTTTGAAGGATTTTCCTTGGCCAAATGTTTGGAATGGAAAACAAAAAGCTCAAGACAGTTTTGCTTTAGGATTTTCCGAAACTTTGGCTGTTTGGTTGACTACCTTTCCGAAGTTATTTCTCCATGAAATTCGGTAGAGGGACAACCCTTATATGGTAGTATTATACTGCTAATTATGGTATTATTCCGAGGCCGTTTCATGGCTCAAATAAATTACCAAAGTTCATGACTCGAGTTTGGAAAACCCATGTTTCACAAGGGAATTTTGGTAACTTTGAGTTGCCATATCTCAGTATTCAAAACTCCGTTTCTCATTCCGCTTATTTTGTTGTAAACTTGGATTGCGACTCTAAAAGAGTTCCAAATTTCAAAAACTAGTTCGAATCAACCGAATTTTGCCGAATTTTCAAAGTTGGCCAAAAATCAACCTAAATCTGCCTTGTGAACCAAAACAACGACTTTGAGCTTATTTTTGAATGTTTTTCATTTGGAATCTTAGAAAAGTGTATTCTAGGAACTTTTAGTACCTTGGAAGAGATTTCCAACGGTACCAAGTTTTCCAATTTTGGACTTGTAAAATGTGAGATACGATTTTTCAAAGATCTCGTATCAAAACTGAAATTTCCGAATCTTAAGGAAATGGAGTTTTTCGAATTCTCCTTATTCCTTCGATATTACCTGAACGTTTTATACTTATTTCAAAGATGAAAACTTGATTTCTCTTGTACTTTAAAACCCCACTTTTGAGCCTTAATTTGTGAGTAATTTAGGCTCATTTTAGTAAAATTTTCTAGGATTGCACAAGTGTGCAAGCTTTCTTGATAATTGGGATTTGTAAGTGATTGTTCACTATTAATTGCTCAGGCTCACACGAGGACCTTCAAGAGGATCCTACGGTAGACGCTTGAACTTCAAGTAACATTTCTCCTTGGTTGACTTGGTGAGTGTCAAGTGCATGTTTACTTGTACTTCACTTGAGATCTGTTGCCTACATGAACTCTACTTGAACTTGTTGTTACATGAACTATACTTGTTGAGGGAAGTGTGTACTTTATCACACTTCATCTCCTTTACTTGGATCAGTACATGACTTGCTACATGAATTACATGAAATTACTGGATTTTACATGTACATGACCTGAGGTCGAATGCAGAGAAAATCTCATCGACTAAAACTTGATTTGTTTCTGAAAACCTGACCTGTGGGGACGCCCAAAACCCAATGGTTAAACCTCGTAATCTCGCAGCCAATCGTGAGGTCTTGGTCGGGAAAACTTGGTAAACCTTGGGACCTGAAACTTGATCTTTTGAGATCTTGCTTGGCATACTTGTATAGTACCGCCTTTACATGCTTGTTGGATATGGATCCGAGAGAGTGAAAGGATGGATGGAAGGAAGTAAGTGGAGATCTATGGATTGGAAATACCGACCCGGTTGACAAAGAGTCATCGCGGGAAGGTATATGAATGACCCTGGCAATGCAAGTGGAACTTAGCTCCTGAAAGCTACCATATCCTTGAATTGTTTCTGTTTACATTTCATAGGAATTGACGATTACTTGTACTTTATCATTTGACCTGTTAATTGAGCTTGTTACCTGGATTATGTGCTTGCATGTGTGTCCT